CAACAATCAGCCCACTCCGATCATTTTTGAAAAGGCAAAATTCGACGGAGAGTACCTCGAATTGGGGGAAAATCGGAAAATGTGGATTGGGGATTCCATCGAGATGATTCGATCGGAAAATTAAAACGGGAAGTGATCGACTCCGATTTTATCGACGAATTATTAAAATGCCAGTGACGATTTGACTGGCATGTATCGATCGAGAAATGAAAACGCGAACCGATCGACATGATTCAATGGCAGTGTGTCTATACTTAAACACCCCGGCCAAAAATCAGTACTTTTACAGTACTTTTTCAGTTATCCCCAAGAAATTCACTACCTCCTCAACAGAAAAATTCAGTTCTTTTTCAGCACCGCAAATTGACAAAATTCGAAAAATGTCAAAAATTTGAATTTTTCGCTCAAATTGCGACACACCGGAAAAAAAAAACACATTGGATCTAGAGTCAACACTCTTAAAAACATCGACAAAAAAAATACTCTTGATTCAATCAGATTTAAACTTAAATCAAGAACCATAGCCTCTTAATTTGAGTGGATTTCCTTTTGTTTTAAGCTAAAATCTGATTGAATCAAGAGTCCTTTCTCTTGTCAATGTTTTCAAGAGTCTGGGCTCTAGATACAATGTGTTTTTTTTCCAGTGCAGAAATGACAACCATGAAGAAAATTCCGGACATTCTTGCGGACACTTTTTCAGTGCTTCCGGACCGCCCTTAAAAAATCAGTACTATTTCCGGACTTGTAGACACCCTGTTCAATAGACACCATTTCTAACGACAAAATTCGATCGATTCACGTCTTTGTCGATCGATTCATGTCGATCGAATCCATACCCTCCGAGAAAATCGCCACCACCAATCGGGCTGACAGCGGTACTATGAGCGCAACAGGAGCGCGATGCTCGAATCATGAAAAATAATATAAATAATTGGTCGATAGACCTGCGTGCAAACATTATGCAAATATGTCTGCCGAGCGGCTCAATCCGTATTTTATAGCGCGCGGCGAACCTCAGGCTTATTTTAATAGGTGCCAGCGCACACGAATTGACTAATCACACGTGGAGCGTCGTTGCCATCTCTCCCGCCCTTCGGAAAAACCCCTTATTTTGCCGTGCTAAAGAAGAACGTTATATGAGCCTTCAGATATTGAAAAATTTCCTTTCTTGAAAACGAATTTCCCAGAAAAACTGTGAATATTTTCTCTTCAATTTTTCACAGAATTTTACTCGCAATGAGATCTAAATTACCTGAAACTTGCAAAAGAGAATTTTATGACTTTCCTAACAAATAAACATTTTATTGAAGGAAATTTGACTACGCTCGAATGTTAATACGGTGTTTTCTCTTAGCACAGCAGTATTGCTGGCCTGAGGAAGTTACAAAATTTCCTCCGAAAAAATATACGAATTTCCCGATAAACTTGTGAATAATTTTATTTTCTTTGATTTTTTTTGGAGAATTTTATCCGCAATGTAACCTAATATATCTGAAAATGTCAAGGAAAAGTATTCATAATTTTTATCGCAAAAAAAATCTTCTATCGCAGGAGTTTTGCCGACACTCCGATGTTCTAACGGCGTTTTTCCTTGGCACGACAGCATTGAATGGACCAGATTTTCCAAATAGGAACTACTAATAGTATTATGAATATTTCTGGCTCATTATAGATACAACATATGTGCCATTAGTTCCCCTAAGCAGATCGGTGCTTTTATGTAGAAGCCAGAAATTGCGGTTCCTTATTAAAAAACGCAGGCCGGATGGCAGTACTGTCACGCTGCGGAGAAGCGTCGTATGAGCTCTCGCACGCTTGACAAATTGCCTCTGATAAAACATACATTTTCTAGGAAGTTTTGGATATTTTGATCAGAATCTCCAAATAATTTTGGTTGCAATTTTAGTTAAAGTACGTAGCTGAGCATTTCACGGAAAAATGTTTTTTACTTTTGTGTACACAAAAATACATCTTTATAGTATCTCAATGAAACTCACCGGCTCCCCAAGGGGGCAAGTCTTCTTTGGGAACTTTTAGCACTTTTTTTCCGTATCTCGCGCGTCTTTCCACAAATGGAACCAGTTACTGATCTATTAGCACGTGTTCACTTGAAAATCAAAGTATCTACATCTTACGATCAAAATTATTTGGAAATTCGGAACAAAATTTCTAAAAGTTCCCAGAAAATTCATGTTACATCAAAGGAAATTTGGCAAACATGCGAAGACCCATACGATGCTTTTCCTCAACATGACAGTAGTGCCATCTGGACTACATTTTGCAATAAGGAACTACAATTTCTGGCACGTGCATGAAAACACTATGTGCATAGGGAAACTGATAGCACATATGTTGTATCCATAATGAGCTCGAAATTGTAGTTCCTTGTTGGAAAATGTTGTGTAATTAGGTATTAGATGTGAAGCGTTAGAATTAAGCTCGTTAATTGTTAAAAATGTGACTCCACGCAGAGGCTGTTATCATGATGATACTCCAGAATTTCATCTCATTGAATTTATATCCCAGCAGACACTGCAATATGCATATCTCAAGATCGAAACCCTCATGTCTGGCTACTCGCTTAAAACTTTGATCTACGTACTGCAAAAGCATGAAGTGCGTCATAATTCCACGGATATCATGACTGTCTTCTGGAAGAGCTCGAAGCTAAAATCTGATCGAGAGCAACTGTCATTCTCGACTCGCCGAAAAAACGTTTGCAAGCCGATTGATTACTCAACGGGCGATTGAATTAGTGTGGTGAAAAGCGTTCCTGTTAGCCACAGAGTCAAGATGAGTGTACTCACGAATGTCAATTCACAGATATTGAATTTATCGGTAACGATAACGATGAATGTAGGTAATCCAATGTGGCGCGAATGCACGAAGACGACACTGATAAAATTAAACTGCTACACGAGGATAAAAGCTCGTCAATGAACACAGCTGATGCTCCAAGGCTTGGCGGCACACACGAGATCCGAGATCTGATAAGCGCACATCAACACTGAACGCGTATGAAGTTTACATTACATTGCAACGTTAATTTTACGATGAGACGTAGCTTTGGAATCCGGAGAGATAAGTTGTAGCGTGGAAACGCGATAAAAGTTTACGGCACTGGGTAACCCACTCAATGGTAGATTAAACACTTTGGTGAAAACACAAATTATTAATGCTGAGGGAGGCGAAGCACTATCTGCACAGAAAGAAAAAAAAATCGATTTTTTGGGGGAAATTTTGACGGTGGATACAGTCCGATCAGGTCAATAAAACCGGCCAGGCTGCAGGAGAATTGGAAAACAATTGGGTACCTAGTTGGGGGTTGTTCCGGGCAGAGACCGTTTGAAAAAGTTAGAATTTAAAGTTAGAACTAAAAATCGAAAAGTATGATGCAAATCCAGTGATCGCTTCGAGGCTTGCAGTTGGCGCGAGGGGGAGGGGGAAAGAAAGGGGCGCATTTTCAGGGAGATATTCGGATCGGGAACTTTTCGGGTTTTTAACGATGTGTCTAAATTGAAGGTTTCGACCATGAAAAAAAAAATACAATTTTCTGTTGATAGGGACCTGAATTAGTGTTTACTATTCTAAAGAAAGAGCAATGTAAATATACGAGAAGATTTTCAGTGGACACAGCGTAGTACGATTAGGCGACGTCCCGGGGAAGAGGGGGTGGTATTATAATTGACAGAGGGCGAATCTCAAACTGTGTGCACCGAACTGGAGGTATTTCCATTAGAAGAGGTAATCATTCTCAATTTCACTAAGGGGTTCTCGATTCCAATGGCATCGTTGACTTGAGGGTACAAGGGAATAAACTCACAGTTCTGGGGGTTGTTTATCAGGGGTAGAACCGGATTTAGAGCAAGTAATGCAACTAATACATCTGCATTGGGTGGCAAATTATCAATTTTTTTTCATTTATGTAATTCATCAAAACTACGAGTATGATATCTCCACCGAGAAGACGAAAACGGGATCCCTTTAAAAGGAGTTAAATCTTAGGACTTTGCCAAACGAACTAGAGCCTTTTTCTACGAACAATTTAACCGTAGAAAGAGGTTACAACTCTGCAAACATCACGCCGATAGCATAGTTAACAAAACGGCACAAAAAAGTGCACGAGGGGATAATGCACAGTTTCAGGGGTACTTTAACAGGGGCTATTGGATTTTGCTTACCGATCTGGAGATTTCATCCATAAAAAAATTAACCGTTAATAGAAGACACAATTAAGCGAGATTCACGCTGATGAAAAATTTAACACAACGGCACAAGGGGGCGATGCACGGTTCCCCGAGTTCCTATTTTGGCAGGGGTTGACTCTTACAAAAGCTTGTGGACTGGAGATTCCATCAGAAAAAAGATAAAGTAAAAATTGGTCACGATTTTTACCGGATATCTCGCGAGGTCAATACAACGTCACAAGGGGATGGTGCACGACTTCACGGGGGCTGCATCTTAAATTACCTTCCGGACTGGAGATTCAATCCGTAAAAAAGATAGAGAAAAAAATTGGCCACGATTTTCAGCGGATATCACACAGATATCTCGCGGGTAAACACAACGGCACAAGGGGATGATGCACGGTTTCGCAGGGGTTGAATCTTACATTACCTTCCGGACTGGAGATTTCATCCCTGAAAAAGGCAGAGTGAAAAGTGGTCACTATTTTTAGCGGATATCTCGCGGAGTCAACACAACGGCACAAGGGGATGATGCACGGTTTCGCAGGGGTTGAATCTCACATTACCTTCCGGACTGGAGATCTCATCGGTGAAAAAGGCAGAGTAAAAAGTGGTCACTACTTTTAGCGGATATCACGCGGATATCTCGCGGGGTCAACACAACGGCACAAGGGGATGATGCGCGGCGTTGGGGATGGAATGCGGCGTGGTGTAAACAACGGCGACAGGTGAACACTGAGTCGGTGGAATCCCTTCAGGACTCGGGGGCGAGGGATTGAAGGGGGGGGGGGTGGGGGGGGGGGGGGAACTCACCTTTTCATCGGGGGTCTTGTCTCCGACCAGTTTGGTTGTGGAACCCATCGGGGTGGCAGAACGGGCGAACTTGCCACCCCCGTCGTCAGCAGCGCTCCTGTCCGTTTTGCGATCGCGGTGGGTGCCGGCGCGGACACAGTCACCTGGGAACTGGCGCTGGTGCCACGGGAGCGTCGCTATCTCGAGGGCCGCCGCCGCGATGCGCCCGCTCCCTGGTGGCGCCTCGTCCAACCGCCGGAAAGTCCCCGTGTCCGACACCGAGAACACCGCCTCTTGCGGCTGGTACTTGTTGTACCGCAGGAATGACGCCTTCCGCTGCACCTGCAACAGTGTAAAAGAAATTGGTGAAAATTTGGTAGAGGTAACTTGAAAAACAAAACAGAAAACTAAGGAGTTACGCTCCTAGCCGCTGCGCATCCAAAACCCCAGAGGGCGCTTTGCACCCTAAAAGCGCGCACCCTCCGCAGACCCCGTGAGCTAATATAATATGTATTGCGGGGCTGCGGGCTCATCAAGAGACTGTTTATTCTCGATAGCCGCGAAATTTATGAAAATTGGCCCGGTGGACATCATTCACAGCGTTATTATGGGAGAATCTACAGCTTTATCATGCAATATAAACAAAACCTATGATGAATTGGACGTAATTCTATCAAACGGAACTATGTGCATTAAGACATGAGCCCTGAGACCCATAAGAAAACTTTCATAACAGGGCTCACGTCATGATGCACATAGTTCCGTTTGATAGAAATACGTCCAATTAATGATGCATTTAGTGAAGGAGGGGTAGAGAGGAGAAAGGAGGGGTAAGGAGGAGAAATAAGTGGGAGAGAAAGAAGAAAGGTAGGCATTGAAGGCATCAAGGAGATAACTTCAATAAATTAATCTCCGACATTATTGGAGAGATGTATTGTGAGCGCGAGTTGCATCACGGGCAAAATCGCCTTCATTATTCGATGATACCAAATCACAACACCATGGGTAAAATAGTTGCATCTCACTCCTACATGTAAGTTAGCGAAGCAGCTGAGGAGGATAAATTGCAACTATTTTCCCGGAAAAGTCTATCTACGAAGAGAATCGATTGCAGATTTTACTTTTACGTGTAAATGCGTCAAACTATTAACGTTGTCATGAAGATACGAACAGAGCCTCCATGCGTACTTCAGTACATACAGTATTTTTATCCTTCCACGTAAGATGCGTGAAAATGTTTAGTTTGTCACAGATGGATGAGGACATTTCACTTACCATCAGGAAAGTAAAAGTGTAGAATAAGGAGGGCCTACAGCATTTAAATATTTCGTCTGTTCAGCATGTGACGGTCTTTTAAATGGGTGTATTTAGATCAGAGGGAACTATACCCATTATAACATGAGCCCTGCCATGCATGTATACTTATGGGTCTCAGGGCTCATATCAGAATGAATATAGTTCCTTTTGATTTAAATATACGTCCAAATGTTCCCAAGAACGAAAACCATACCAGCTCTAAATCACTTGAAGTCCAATGGCTTATTGTTCATACTGATCCTTAATTTATACGACACCCTGGTGTAATCGAGCGATGATAAGGTTAAATGCGCTACGAATTTTGAGAACCAAGTGCTCAATTTCTGAGCAATACTTTTTTGTAGTCCTTAAAAAGTCTTCGGAGACACGCGCCTTGATAATTTTTACTTCACACTTTTTATAAGTATGAAAAAGGAAAGTTTGGAGACGTCTAGTTCGTTATCGTCGTGTTTTGTGTGTTTCAAAGACCGTGGCTGCCTGCCGCGCTGATTAAGTGTATTAAAGTTTTTGAAAAAATACATACATCCATCTCATGACGTTTGGGACATTTTGAGCTCCGGCGTGATTTGACATTTCGTCGCCTCTCTGACGTTAGGGGTAAGGGAGTATCTCAATTTCCATAAAAGCCTCGTTTTAAGTACATACAAATCCATGATTTTCGGAACTCATGCAGGAATCTAGGTGGACCTTACGCCAGAGGTGCGATGATTTTGGGGGCCATTTTTCTCCAAAATATTCTGAGAAAACTCTTCTATGCTCTGGTGTCAATGATCTAATTTAGATTAGTTTAAATCAAGGTTTCCTATTCTGAAATTTGCAGGTGCCCAGCCACTAAAAAGTAAGAGATCCGCGATGTGCAACCCTAAGACCCTGAGCCCTGTGACAGGTTTCCCGAGACGCAGAGACACTGCAAAGTTAATTTATCATTTGAGTAATTTGTGATTAATCTGTTTACATTTTACGTGTGGCCTTTTCCACGCTGGAAAGATAGTCGTATCAGCTTCATCAAACAAACGAATGCTCTCTATATTTGGATCAATGACAAGCGACAGGTTGCCGTGATTCACTTAAAGTCGGCTGTAATTGCAAGGTGTGTTTGCGTAGCGGTTACACCGAAGTGAAGGAATGTCTGGATGGAATGCGACTGTTTTTGTTTTCTTTTCTTAAATAATGATTTTTTTAAATTTAACGTTTTTCTCACTCTGTCTCCTTTTATTTTCGCTTTTAGCAAGTTTGCACAGATGACAGAGCAATAGGTATCATCTTATCGAGCTAATGCACTGTTCAGGGACAAGACGCATTGCAGAGCAAGATTATTTGAAAGCACTTATTTTTTAAATTTATTCGCTCTTTCCGGGTTCATTTTTACTCATAGGCCTGCGAACTCACCAACAGAGGCGAGGCGTAAAGGATCGATTATCGATATTTCCTCATTTGAGGCTATGGTAAAGAATCGCTTATTAGGTGATCGTTGCGAAAGCCCTGTATATCGATCTTCTTCCATAGGTTTTAATGGTGGATAAATCGATTTATCGCAAAACACGCCCGGCCACTGCTCATCAATCAAGTCATACTTACAAAATTCAGAGGGTTGTTTTAGTTTTTTACAAGTGCTAGTTCATCCTATTTAACTGCTATAAACGAATACACATTATAAAATTTATTTCATATCCTTGTGATAATGCTGTTATGTAAATTGATTTGATTCATATAATATGCTGTTATGTTGAAAAATTGGTATACATCGATCACAATATGCACTCTTTCTTTCAACGTTTACAAAAAACTTAACGTTATCAAATTTTTCTGAACGTCGGCTTACACGTTTTAAAAAGTATGATGAAGTTTCCTCCATTTCTGGTAGAGAACCGGAGAGAGAAATTGAGGGGCTTGAGGACAAGCCGCATAAGTGCAGTTTTTGCTATCTCGAGAAATACGTGTTTGAAGTTTCGAAATTACATTGATCCTCAAAGGAAGTCCGAACTGACTTTTCGATGTGTAAAAATTGGAATTTGGGATCGAATTTTTCACAGAATATACATTAACATTAGTTTAACTTGAGATTATTAATATCTCAATTTTTTCAAAAATGCACTTATGCGCCTTGTACCCCAAGCCCTTCAACTGAACATCAACATAAGAAACCCGATACTTATCAAACGAGTACAGTCTTCAATGTGCCTGATGATTTGCTTCCATTCAAAGTTTTTTCTCTTTTTTATCTTACATTTTTCTTTAATTTTATTCATCACCTTCCCTATCTCTCTGACCTCCCTTTCCCTATACCTCTTCGACTACCGTCGATAAATTGGAGGAGACTATTTGCGTGGTGTCTGATGCTGAAAAAAAATGACTCGCGTATATAATTATATTTTAACCGACAGGAAAACAATACCGCATAACCTTGACAAAGCACGGAGATAGGAGGAAACGCTATGATGATGAGAGAGGGACACGAGAGACAAAGTTAATGATAAAAAATCATGCTTATACAATAAACGAGTCGGAATGATTCTCATTTGGCAGTTGATAACGAAGCTGATGATTATAATTTTGTCGCGTTGCGATCGTGCAATTATTTGATTAAAAAAGTCTCATTTCAATATTGACTGAAAATTGACAGTTAGGGTAAGAAACTAATCAACACCGTTGAACAAAAAAGTGGTGAACCAAATTATGATGGATTTATGGTCTTGAGCCCTTTAAAGGGACCTTCGAAAGGGACGAGCCCTAAGCGCCGCTGACTCAAAACTGAGATACCGCTAACGTTGTAGGAAAGAAACTTTAGCGAACAAATCGTCACAAAATACGTTTGAAAATAATATTAACCAATCTGGAGGATTGAGCTGGTTTAAAATTTGCATTTCAAAGTGACGAGAAAAAAAATTTACTATCTATTCTATTCGGAATTCTCTATTGTTGGACAAGAATAGAATTTTTGTCCTCTCCTAGGACAAGAACGAAATTGACTACTCGCACCTCCTTGGAGAAATTAGTGAGTAGGTATGTTTTATGTCCAAGACTCACATTTTTCACTGAAATTAACAAAAGTTTCTAGGAAAAGCCGAAAGTTTGACAAAGTGCGAAAATTCAGTTTCAACTTTGAGCAATAGAATTGTGAATTTTTCGATCGGTTCTTTCGGTTTCGCAAACTAATTTTTGGACAACACTTCCTCGAAGTAAACAACCGACATCTGATCTGCTTTCATAAATCTGCTCTCCGTTTGGTTTTCAAAACCAAAATATTATTTTAAAAACTGCTCATTAACTAAAACAAACTACTTTTTCAAATCCGACGATGTTTGTTAACTTCTCATTATGAGAAAACCGAGGCGAACTTAAAAGTTACCAACACGTTACCAGCCAGACAGACACCTTGTCTAGATCGCGGCCGATCCCATCCACGTGCGAAACAATCCGTTAGAGATGCGCCTTCAATATTGACAAATGCAATTTTTCATGCTTGCGGGCTCAATCGGAACAATCACAGCGCGGCTCTCCATTCGCGGTTCCGCGAGCCGCGAAGCGACTCCTTGAAAACTTTTCATCAACACTGCGTAACTCAATGCACAACGACGAGAGTATTCTTTCGTGCTAAGGCACATTCGAGAGTTGCCAAATTTCCTCCGGTAAAATTATTATTCTTGAGGAAAGTTATGAATATTTTTCCTAGAAACTTTCAAGAACTTAAGGTAAAATTTCGAAAAAAAGTATCTGAAAAATTGAAAGAAAAATATTCATAAATTCACGAGGGAATCTGAGTTTTATCAAAAGAAATTTGGCAACGCCTGAAAGTTCATACGGCGTTCTTCCTTAGCAAGGCAGTATTGTTCGCTGCTCGGGAAAAGTGACGAGGAGCGAGGGCTTTAGAAATGTTTCCTTCAGCTCCGCGATTCTTATGTAAATTCATAGTTATACTGGCGATTAAACGTAACTAAGTTTTAGAATGAAACCTGCCGTGTATTTAACCTCATGCATTCAGAGGCTCAAGTGAGGAGTCAGTTACGCCTTTTTACATTCGGCGC